GACGACATGGGAGGTGGCGGCGTTGCTGAGCGGATGTTGCGGCACCGGCAGCTGGCAGAGTCACCGGAAAAAATGACCGGCGGCGTCAGCGATGAAGGAGGCGGGCCCGGGGAAAGGAGAAGTCGAGCGTGCGCGCGTCCGTCTGGTGCCCGCGCTGACGCAAATCCGGCTCAAAAATTGGCCGGAATGGGTCGCCCGCGAACGAAAAACGGACACATGTCCTTTTGGATTGACGCGTTGGGCCGACTTTTGTGTCCGCGCCGATCCAAACGAACGTCCGCGAATGAAATGGATCGCCCCGTTAGAATTGCTCTAAATACTCCCCCAACTCAACAATAAAAATCAACTCTAGCGGCCATCATTACCGTTGTGTACTACCTCGATCCTTCTTGCTGCAAATGCTTTGTCAGTTGTATGCAGTTGCACGCTTGGTTCTAAGAAAATAAGGTGCGTTTTCGGTCTCGTACATACTGCCCCTGTTTTTTTTTAACATCAGTACAAACACAAGCGCTCATATACATGCGCATACACTCACCCCTATGAACGCACACACGCACACCCTACCCCTATGAGCACCTTCGAAAGACTGAACCGGCATATCATCTTGAAATTTACGAAGTCACCGTAGGCACCTCGTCGTCGACGGGAACGTCTCCTCCCACTGAATGCACATCGCCGGAAATCCTGAAATAAATCCAGAAATAAATGGAGCCCCCGTTTCTAAATATATGACGTTTTCATAGAATCAATTTGAACAACCAAAACCTCCTATATTTAGGAACAGAGGGAGTACATAGTAATGTATGTGTACCAGAGTCGTTAACTGTCTTGCTGTTTGTTGCACATGACGTCCGCTCCCTGACCTCCTCCTTTCCCTAGCTAAAACCAGCTTACGCACTCATGGCTGAGCAAAATCTCCATTCCTTCCGGCATCGCCTGCATTGCATGCCGGAATCGTAGACGCAGTGACCACGCATTTATTATACGGCCGATAAACCTCGCCGACCATGTTAAATGTGCGTACCCTACCAACAAAAGTGACATCGGCCGCGGCGGGTGCCACGGGGAATGGAACTCATTCAATGGCGAAACCTAATTACAGCCTGACGTGTTGAATGCAATTCATTCAATGCAGTGCACAGTTGAGCGGAAGTGTCCGTGAGCGACACAGTGGGTCTTGTATTACACACTCTACAGCTAGTCGTAATATAACTTCTGTTTAATTAATTATTAGACTGAAAAGAAGTGCATGCATGTATTCCGGTAGCCTGATCGACCTCCTGTCCTGTGCGCTGCAGCTGAACCGGTTCCAGGGCAGGGGATACGCCATCGGCGTCAGCTGCACGGTGCTGCTGTCCGACCCGCTGTCGCTGGCGAGGTTCCTCCGGGCGTGGGCGCGCACGCACGCCGAGATGATGGAGCAGAGCAAGGTCGCCCCCACGCCCATGATGCAGTACATGGCCTACTTCCAGCGCCCGGAGATCTGCTGCAAGCGCATCAGGTCCTTCCCCGTCGACTCCGTCGCCGCCGACGGCGTCCACGCCCAGACCGTGCTCTTCAGGGCCGCGGCCGGCGACCCCCGCGCGCTCGCGGCGGCCTGTATCGACCGGGCGAGCGAGGAGCTCGGGGCGGACAGGCCGTCGCGCTTCACGCTCATCGTCGCCCCCGGAGACCCCGGCCGCGGGGCGACGACCGTCGAGACGTCGGTCACGGCGGACGGCCTGAACAAGGGCGGCGCCGGCCACGCGCTGGAAGCTGCGGAGTGGGGCGAGCTGGGGCTGGAGGAGCTGACTATCAGGGACGTCAAGCCCGTGCATGTGTCGTACAGAATCGTGTCGGGCGGAGACGAAGGGCTCGTCGTCGTCATGCCCGACGGCCATGGTTTCCTCATCACGGCCACGGTTCCAAAGTAGACACAGCAAGACAAAAATATTTACTGCATGCATATTTGCTCCGGGGACTCAAATAAGCCAATGTTAGCCCTCGATATCCACAAAAACTATGTTAATATCATATACAAATTGTACTCTACTTCGAATGAATTTCTCTTATACTCCCTCCGTTTCATAATGTAGTGTCTATAGATTTTTACAAAAGTTAAACACAAGGCCGGTCTTGAGATTTCGGGGGCCCGGGGCGAACTAAAAATTGGGGACCCTTAATATACAAGTCATTATAATATAAGTATATATATATTTATCTAAAAAATAGTGTATATATAAATTACTATCAGTAACACTTCAATGCATCTAAAATCAATACACGTATCAGATAATTTATACATATTACCTTAAAAATTTCTTCTAACATTCTTCAATGCAAAGTCGCTTATGATGGGGTCGATGTCATTCTCATCCAATAATTTCTTCTCGATGCATAATGTAGCTAGAGCATTTAACCTCTCTTGAGTCATTGTTGACCTTAAATAATTCTTCAACAATTTCAACTTCGAAAAGCTTCTTTCCGCCGATGCGACCGTCACAGGCACAATAAATAAGATGCGATAGGCAATAGAGATATTAGGATAGCAGTTGACTTCTCTCACATGACCGAAAATCTCCACAGCAGACATTACGCCATCTGGCAAAGTTAATTTCATAATCTTCAATTTAGAAATAAGATCGCATACCTCAACATGAGATGAATCATTAAGAGAGAAAGTTTCTGCAAATTTTGTGCAACATTTTTCAAAATTCATTGTCACTTAATGACTTCAGAGTGTCCGAGCTCAATAAAAATCCGAATATAACTTTAAACACCAGCGTTGTGTGTGTGTGTCAATTTCTCCACTTCCTTCTTCTTTTTCCTTTTGCTGCTACCTGATGGATAATTCCTCTTACTGGAGGACTTCATAATAACACATACACAATGCTAAAAATAAAAAAAATTGTTCTATCAATTGTTGAACATTGCCGGCTATGCATCAAAGGAATTTTCTTGTATCAGTATTATATGAATATACCTCAATACGTGATGGAGTGATGGTCAAACTTCAGTGCGTGCGTGTATACAATACAATACATAGGGGATTGCACAGCGCCTAGAGTTTACAAAGGATTGAGAAGAGAACAATTGAGCAAATGCCAAAGGGGGCCCCGGAATTGAAATCAGTGGCGAATATATACAGATTACAAAGGAAATTACCAGGCGGCGGCGAGGCGGGAGTGCGTGCGTGCACGGCGGCGTCGGCGGACAGCAGCTATGGCTGGGACCTGGGCGTTGCGTGACTCCGAGTGATGAAAGAGTCGAACAGAACAGGAAGGGAATCGTCCAGGCCGCTGATTGATCGCTTTTTTCTTACGTGAAAGGAAACGCCGCTAATCGCTCAAAACACTCAATTGCTGGGATCGGGGAGATCGGTTTGCTGGCCTGCTGCTCCCTGGCGCGCGCCTGCCTGTATGGGCCATAGGCCTATAGGGTACGTACATATACTCCCTGCTTCGCATAATATAAAAGTGTATTTTACACTGCAACATTGATACATTGTAAAAAACGCTCTTATATTATGAAATGAAGGGAGTAATTTTTTACGAAATAATATTTTTTTAACTAGTCAGGCGGCCCACGCATTATCTTAAATGTGTCGAAAGTGTATACAAATTGAACTACAATTTGGTGGTTCTAATCCCATGTGATTGAACTATATTTGATAAGCTTTAATTTCCGCATGCATAATCTGAACGTTCCATTTTCAAAAGGAGTACAATAATTATAAACATGCGTGTCGTATGTACTACCTTCGTCCGGGTTTATTGGGCCCCTTAGCAACACATCGCTGTTCTGTTTTATTAGGCCGTTTCCCTCGGTCATTGTTTTCACTGATTAAGGGAAATCAATTCCCAGCCGTTGCATGCAGAAGAGGCCGGCTGCATGCGAGCATTTGTTCCGGTACTAGGGCTTCTTCTGTAGCATACGCAGAAGCGGGCCAATACATGCCATCAACACAAAAGGCAGCTGCTGCATGCGGCAGTAAATAACAACACAAATCTAGAAATTTGCATGTGCTGTTTGCTCTGCCTTGGTCCTGCCGATCCGGTTGACGAGACCAATAGTCCTAGACGGAGGTAGTACGTGACAATAGATTAGTACATACCAAAAAATTTAGAGCACACGCTTGAGGCTGTTCTTAGGCTGGTCACAATGGGCAAGAACATAAGCTAGTAACTTACACGCTTTCCTAGATTATGTTACTACCTACATAGTGGGTAGGAACATCTATGTAGTGTCATGCAACGATGTATTTATTAAATTATAGACTCATTGTTTCTTGAAGTGTGTGATGTTCCGGTAACTTAGCTAGTTACCACAAGCACCTCTCTCTTCATTAAATATGTGCCACATAAGCAAAGTTGTATTGGAGTGTGTGAGGTTACTTCTAAGTTCCTCCCCATTGTGACCAGCCTTATCTGATGTTATCTGATGTTAAAATTGGTTTATGAAGGTAGAATTCAGATTGTCGGTTGTTCATAATGTTAAAAAATGATTTCGAAAATCTATCATTTTCTGGATCTATTAACTAAGAATTTTGTTTTATGGGACTTCTAGCTTGATTATCTTTTTTGGTTGACCATGTGCTTTTACTATAAAATCAATATGGTATGACATGAAAATACTTGAGCCACATATACTTATATTTTGAGACGTGGAACATAACGATTAAAACCACATATCACTATATGAATGTTTGTGCCAGTGCTTGTACGTTTATATGGCAAAAGCTTAGCTCGAGAGACATATATCCTCCTAAAATATATATGGGTTATGTGTGTGCGGATGATTGTTAACAAGCTCCTCTGATCATTCTAAAGTATGTTGTGCTTATAAGTTTGATCTTTCTAAGGCATATGACTGAGTGGATTGAGATTTTCTGGAGAAGGCTCTTGTAATGGCTTGGCTTAGTTGGGATAAAATGCGTCTTCCAAAGTCTAAGGGTGGTATAGGCATTAGAGATATGTGGGGTTTTAATCAAGCCATGTAAGCTAAATAGGGTTGGCGATTAATTGAAACTCCAGATAGTTTGTGCGCTCACCTGCTTCGGGTGAAATGTTATCCTAATGGGAATCTTCTGGTCATGGTATTTGCAGGTAATTTTACGACTGTTTGGAAAGGTATTGAATATGGCCTTCAACTAGTGAAAAATGGTTTTATTTGGAGAATCAATAACGGGTCTATGGTGCATACATGGAGTTATTCTTGGATTCCAAGAGGTAATGATCTTAGACCGATTACTCCGAAAAGGAATCGTCGATTTAATCATGTTTCAGACTTTCTGTTCAACCATGGTGGATGGAACATGGGCCGTCTGCAACAACATTTTTGGGATGTAGATGTGCAGCAAATTTTGAGAATATGTACATTGAGAGGCTGGGAAGATTTTTTTGCCTGGTTTTCGAAAAAGTCTGGATAGTTTACTATTAAGAGCGCTTACAAACTCGCTACTAAAGAACATGACGATTCATTTGTGGGAGGGGCTTCCTTTATCTGTCCAAAGGGAGATTGATCCATATGGAATTATGTTTGGGAGGCTAAAGTTCCTCTTAAAATGCGTATTATAGCTTGGAAGGCCGCGTCAAATGCTCTTGCCACTGATCAAAATAAGCTTTTGTAACACCCTGAGAATCATGCTCCAGTGATCTTCCCCTAATGGTTGCCATGTCATCATGATTACCTTGCTAATTGTCAATTGTCCAAAAATCAAAGCCAAATTCCATTTTCAAATGCAAGTCAAATAACTAAAATTTTCAAAAAGTAAAATAAAAATGTATGTTAGGTTGCAAATATTCACTAATAAATTTTCATGTAAGAATCAACATTTTTTAAATATTTAAGTGCCTCTAGACTATTTAAAACTGATCCAGCAACATTTTATTGAATAAATTTGATATAAACAAATATTCGAACTATTCAAAAGTATTTGAACCTTTTTGGACTAACTCAAAACCTTTCCTAGTATTTGTGTGCTAAGTTGCACATTTAACTAAATTCATTTGGTGTGAAAATATCAGGCAAAATTGTGGACAAATAAAGAAATGGGAAATGAATAAAGGAAAAGAAAAAGGGCGGAGGGAATTTGCACTGTGCACACATCCCAGCTGTGGCAACAGTGTGGCCCAACCCACCTGTGGCGCCATCCCCTTCCTCCTATTCACGTGACGGAGTCGTGACGCATCCGCCGGCCATGGCCGCGCCAGGCCAACGTGCCGGCCATCCGACGACCCCGACGCCCTACTAGGTCGTCCCCGAGCCCTGATGAAACCCTATCCC